CTATGAGTTGTGTGCTTTTATTTGTAGAATAATTTTTTTCATATATAGCATTTTTATCCAAAGCACTTTACAATAGTTTGTAGCGAACAGTACAAACATTTGGAAAGATTAAGTAGTCTGCAGAGACGCTCAGCAATTTTCAAGTGGTCCGCGAAAAAAAATGTTTGAGAACCATTGTTCTAGAGCTTGCAGATTATCTAGTAATTCTTGCAAAAGTTACTTAATGGACATGTACACTGACTGGATGTGTGTTTATCATCTTACTACTTTCAATTATTTAAAAAAAGGTACAATAGTTCTTAAAATTATATGTACCATTGAACAACCACATGGAATTTTGTAATACTTCTGCCACTGTATTTCAAGGTGTGCAATATCAATTTAAAACATATTGATGAAGGGTGCAAATCGCCAAGTTAACATACCAGTTCTTAAAAATAGCTGCTACATTTGCATATCATCTACAACTGGAGTTAGAGCTTTACCGACCCCTTTTTAGGTTATCCCATCAACCTTTGTTTTTGCTCTTGAAATACCAGCTTTGATTGCCTCTTTCTCCCATGCCACCCCTTCTGTAGGCAAGCTTGTCAAAAATCTTTAAAGCTACTTCATTCTCCATTAACTCCCTTCTTAAAATTCCGCTGCTGTGGTGCATACAGAAAACAGACATCTGCTAGGCTGTTGTGAGAATTGTTACAGATAGCCTATGAATTAGATATTCAGGTAACCTATGCAATATATCATACCTCCACCCCCTTTTCCACCCCGAACACTTCCAGCTTGTTCCACACACCTGTTGTGGTTTGTCTCTTCAATTGGAAGCTGTTTGGGGCAGAGACTATCATTTCCTGTACTTGTAGCATGGTTTATAATGGGTTTAGGCCCTCAGCACTACTTCAGTACAAACAGTAAACGTGTCAAAATAGTTTTACCTATTATGTTATGGGTATTGCATACTACCTATTATGTGTATTACTATCTAACTGATATTTAGTAATTTTTTTGGTCTTTGAAACACCATTCTTCTTAGATATGGACATGAGGGGGGAAAAAACCAAACAGTTTTGGGATTGTGGATGGAAAAAGGAATGAGAAACATTGAAATATCTGGTTAAGGTCCACCCAGAAGAATTTAGTAATAAAAGTGGTTATGTACAAACATACACAAGTATCAGACGGGCCATTTGAATATAGTTTTATTTACATTTTCATATTCAAAGAAATTCGGTACAAATCATGAAATATTTACAACATTTTTAATCATACTACACAGAAGTAAGAAAATGCATTGTTTTCTCCCAAGAGATTCAACAGTAGTACATTATTGCTGTTCTTTAGACTAAATTCTGTTAGCATTAGTATTAGGAACAAAACCACAGAATAAAGAATAAAGACACAAAATAAAAATAAAGTGCATTATAGATGTACTTAGTTAACTTTGGTGGATGAGGCTCTAGACTTTGTACTAAGGCACCCTTGTGTTCCACTCTTCCCAAATATTAGAAAACTCAGCAATAATTTATAGCTTCATTTACAGGATATCAGTTGAGTCATTGCAATTTTATCCAGTTTGCTAAACTATGCAACCTCTCTCCCCCCCCCCAATATTCAGTAGCACTCTTTACAACCTGTTGCCTTACCATGTTCTATTCAGTGTTTGTAGACCTTCACCCTCAGTTGACAGTCTTCAGCATTTCAGACTCCCACAAAGTGTGGACTAGCAAACATTGCTGGTGTTGCAGCTATTTATACAACCCCTGAGCCATAGGATAGCCTTCAGACTCCATTTAACAGTCCACTAATTCACAAGTTATAAGTTTGAGAAAGTGAATAGGGTATTTAAAACAAAACAAACAAACAGCACTTCTGGAATTGTTCCCTTTACAATATTGTGCAAGTCAGACTTGACCTGTTATTTAAAACCCTTCAAATAGGTTTACGAATATATGTTGCATTATATGATGGATTAGAACCTTTACCTCATCTGAAATAGGTTTAATATTCCACAAAAATATTTGTGGGGCAGGGGAAGGTTGATAAGTATTTAGTTTGTAATTCTGTCCTATTAATTTGGTGCAGTGACAGTTAACATGATCATTGCTTTACATAAAACAATTAAGTCCAGATAGATTTCTATTACAACCAGATCAAAATTGATCTTTATATTAAATCTATGAGCTCCAAATCAAACAATTCCCAACAGAGACAGCTACTACAGGAGAATCCGCATAGTACAATATTTTAAAAAAAGCAGCGTGTTTTCACAGGCTGAATGGAAATGTCGCTGCACAAGACTGGCTGGGTTAGGAAGGTTTGGTTCAATGTTAAAATCAGATGGTTTTCTTCATACGTTCCTTTGAGAGTTTTATCTGAAGAATACTTGCACTAAATTCCATACGGAAGATAAAAAGGTTTAAATTAGAAGAAGGTTAAGTTTTCAAGCCATGTAATTGTGATCTATTAAAAAAATTTCATTTCATCCCAATATTTCCAATGCAACATTGCTGCTACAGAGTAGTTCATTTGTTATACTGTTTGACGTACATAACGACCACAATTGGCAGTTTGCTACAAAGGGTTCAGATTCCACATTGCTTGACAGATTTTTAGGATTTGATTTCTTGAACGCGTGTTTCATCTGCTTCAAAGCTTGGGTTGTCAAGGTGAGGAAGGACCTCCACTGCTGGAGACTGGGACTCATTGTTTACGAGATGCAGATTGTCATCTTTTAGGATGAAACAAAAGAAAAAAGCAATTAATAAATAGCTTTTGGTTCACTTAATTATCCTAAACTATATACTAACTTTTCCTCTCTGGAGCATCACGCTCTCTATACACACACCTACTTGCCATGCGCTAACATGTTGCAACTGAAATGTTGCTCTGTACCCCTACATGAAGTCCAGACCCTTCTGGGTTGCAGTTTGCCCTCTCCCCACTACCTCACCGTTGGCACCTTTGGGAATAAAGGAGAATACCAACTACTTTTGTGTTAACATCTCATTGAGTACACCCAACATGGGGGAGAGTGCCAGGTTATAGTTGTGTGGTAGATCCTGGATAAGAGAAGCTTAACAAAAAGTAGCAGGTATTGTAGCCACACGCTACTAGAATACACTAAAACTTAAAACAAAAGAAAGGGAATATAAATGCATAAAAGAGCTGGGGGGAAATGCAAATAAATATTAAGTGGCAAGAAGAAAGTAAGAGTTAAGCTATTTCAATCATTTATGTAAATACACGGAAGTGGCAAATGTTTGGCTGTGCAGGATGTAAAAATGTAGCCTTCAAGAATTTGGAATAAAAGAAAAGATCCACTTATCTACTTTGAGCAGAGCACACTAGCTCTTGTCTGAACAATTCTACCTGCATTTTCCAGGGCAAGACACCCAACAGGTGGCAGCAAATACCATGCTTTCCCATTGTTTCAGTTTCTAATTATTCATTTGAACCATTTCCTCTTACACCTGCAAAAAAGCTTTCTGCTTGTTGCCTTTTTCAACATTATTCTGGAGTCCATTGGAAAAAAAAAGTTAGTTTTTCAGGTGGGAAGAGCCCAGATAAAGCAACAGCAAAAATACTGAGCCATTTGGGAAGTTGAATTTAATAGGAAGATTAAACTTACAAATCACATAAAGGATACAAGTACAGAGCAATTTCGCTACATTTTCTATATCTTTTCTAGTTTAAAGACAGTTTATTTCTGTAAGGAGAAAGTATGTTATTAATTTGTAGAAGAGACTATAAATATCCTTTGAAAGATTTATAAAGTCACGTTTTTTGTTTTCTATTCAAGTTGGGAAATCTAAAATTCAGTACGATATTTACCATTTCTATTCATCAGACAGCACTGCATCATTTAGAGTACAGGCAAGTCTCATCATACGCGGGGGTCCCGTTCCGCGGTTAGCGCGCAAAGCGAAAACCGTGTATAGTGAAACACTCATTGAGTTCAACGGCGGGCAGAATCGCCCGCACTACAGATGCAGTTTTTATATTGTTGTTTTTCTTCCCCTCCCCCCCCCCGTTTTTTGCCGACCGCGCAAAGCTGAATTTGCTCATGTTAAATGTGCCTAAAATGCGACTTGCCTGTATTACACTAACTCTTCGTAAGTCTTCCCTAACTAGTGCAAAATTTCAAGAATGTAGATTCATCTAGGGATACTGAAGAAACTATATATTTGACATGGAAATGTTACAAGGGCAGTGAGACGTGGGCCAATCTAAGAAATTCCTTTGGATCCTTGGAATTCATAGTTTACTAGTTAAACATACATTATTTGACCTTGTTCCTCAATAGGATCAGAAAAGACTAGTTTCTCTTAGCTCTCTTAATGCAGCACAAATGTTAGAAAGCAGGAAACCTGATTGACACCAATGGTAAATTAAGATTTTCTTCTTCATAAGAGTCCTGGGCTTAACCAAACACCATTAAACTTTGTGGCCATGAACAGATTTTCATATAAATTATATATTCTCAGTTCTAATGTTATTACTAAAACTTGTCAAGCTCCTTCCCAGTGTTAATACCCATCTAGTATTTCGGATCCTACTCAGTGCATGGTTTCTTAACCTTTGCTGCACAGAGAATTCAGGAAGGGGAGCAGATGGATTTCCCTTACACGAACTTCCAGCGCTGCCATTATACTGGCCAGCTGACTTTGGTGAGATGGCACCTTGGGCATGGATCTAAGCAGAAGTTAAAGTTGAATCCACTGGTGTTTCCCTTAACTTCAACTTCCACCTCAAGAATGGAGTCCTACCTTTTGTTTTACTGGTTAAGGGCCTTCTTCAATACTCACATAAGACCTATATTCCTATCAGGCTTCTTTTTCTAGGAAGATTTTTTACTAGACAACAATAACCTTTGACTACTAGCCTTCACTAGAATTTGACTGGCCGGAATGCACTCTGCTTCTGCGTAGGGGCAATTTAAATAGCCATACCAAAACAAAATTGAAGTTGTCCTGCAGTATGAGAACGTGCAACGAGGGGCTAATGGAATTTGTATAACAAACTGACTGAGACAGGGATCACTGAATACTTACGCTCTGAAGATGCATGTTCTAGAGTCGGCTCATCTGTGCCTTGCACTGAAGCATAGCCAGATGATGCAGTCTCACTACGATTATCCTCTTCATTAAGTGAAGCTCTATTCGATGCTTCATTGGACACCGTGGTCTGGAAAGACTCTGCTCCATCTTCTATATCCACCTTTGTAAAGTCAAATGATTTAAAATAAGGTGCAACTCTAATTGTCCACTTTATCTGTGAAGCTGTAACCTGCCCAACACAGCTGTCATATTAGACCTTGTGTCTACAGGACAAGTGGAGCAACATGCCTGCTGCCTACTTGTAGCAACCCTCCTGAGTAGCACACAGTGAAACTAAAGGAGATAAAATATGGAACACAGGCTCATGGGCTAAGCAACTATCAGCTCTAAAAAGCGGCCTTCCACTGGAGTCCCTTTCAGGGCCAGTGCCGCAAACCCTGGTGCTAGGCCTAGTTCTCAAGGTGCTGCTACAGGACAAGTTAAATATATTTTACACACCCAGCAGAGGAGAAAGCTAAACTGACACGATCTAGTGAAGCAAACTGGAAGAGGTTCAGATACTTGTTACCTTGTGTACCCCTGTTCTCTGCACTTCCATTCCCCCTTCCTCCAAAAACACACAATATAGTACAGTTGATTTCTCAACAGTGTCTCACTCTGGCACTTCTCTGGGTCAGAGGTGCTTAATAATAAACTGACAGTCTCTGATAAACACAAGCTCCTTAAAAGTATGTTATTAGAAGCCATCTGCTGAAGGGAGGAGAGTGATCTCTGCCAGCCTTCTTGTCATCTAAAGACTCCTGGGGATTTAATTAAATAGCTGCAGGGGTGGTGGAATGGAGGAAGTGTTAATTACCTGAATCTGCCAAAAAATGCAGGCCAACCCCACTAATAACTAATTTATTGCAATAAGACTTGGAACTCTCAAATGCACACATCTGCTAGCCTGGCCTGCTATAAGCCCCACCCAAAAAGGTTTGTGGTTAAAAGCAGCTACTAACTCTTTTCTGTTACGCTTTAATCTACAACAGAGCATGTCACAAAACATTTGAAATAGCCAATGAGCAGCTACTAAGCCATGCCAAGTCAGCAGCAGTTTTCACCAAGACGTTAGTCTTCTTTACTGTTTCAAGTGTCACACAGTAATATCTTACTATAGGAGACATTCAAAGTCTCAGAGCCTTATTCTCTACATTCTAGGAGTAGCTTAAAAAAAAGAATCAGTTGATTCATCACACTAGCACTTCAACATTTCTTAAGTCATTTGTCATCAGGAAAGCATGCTAACTTACCTCAATTCCCAAAGCTTTGAGTATGTCCAATTTGCACATAGGACACGTCCTGTGTTCTAACAACCAGGGATCAATACAAGTCTTGTGGAAGAGATGGCTGGTAGGAAAAAAGTTAACCATCACTATTTCATTCTTAACACTCTTTGGTCATCATAGAGCTAAATATTTTACTTAACCCAACATTACTGAATATCCCAATAGCTCTCATAGCATCTGTTCAATACCATAGACTTTTAGTCCCCCAGTAATACACTGCAAATGTTTAAGACAGATTTACATTTGTCGCTGCTTACTTTAGTTACACCAACTACAGGTAAGGGAAGATTTAAAGGTGATATTCTCATTTTGAACAGTAACATCCTTAGAAAGTTTAGGAGCCTTTATATTTTTAAGGTGCAACTATGAAGAGATCCTGTGGTACTGGATGGATAAGACCTAGACTATAAAGAGGAGAAATTCATGGAGTGCTACAAGAGAGCTAACAGACAACATAGTTTTCAGTAAAGTCTAAGTAGAGTGTGTGTCCAAAATAGTTAAACAGCTCCATCAATCACTGTAGAATAACTTGTGGTTCTGTTTATTCAAATTCAAAATAAGCCTTTTGAAGTTTGTTTCCCGGAGGTCTGGAAAAGGAATGCTTACATATTAACAGATATTAAGACTAGTTAAGGACAAAATTAACTCTTCCAAGACATGAGAGGATCACACATGCCTTGTGTTGCTTCAAGTTACATAAGTAGTTATTTGAACCAGTTGTTGCTTATGACTAATCTATAACTGTTTGAGCCTGTAATTGCCATGTCTGGTGCTTTCGTTAGTTTCTCTGTTTAAGAACAAAAACAAAAACACACCTTACTAGAGCAAGTCAGCAGGTCACCTGTATCACACCCTTTCTTAAAGCTTGTGTGTGAGCACTAACTTCCCCAAGTGGATAAACCTTGAACTTATATAAGCCAAATTAACAACGAAGTCTATACTTCACTCCTAGATTTAAGAGAAACATATTTTTCACTCAAAGACATAACTCCTCTCCCCCCCCCACTTGTTTCTGTGAAATCTAAAAAACCTCAGATAATATCATGCCCTCATCCTGATGAGGAAGACTGCATCCCTATGTGCTTACTGTGAGTACACATGGCTGCACAGACATACAAGTACATAAAGTGGGTGTATACACAAGGACTACATACAGTAGAACCTCAGTCATGAACTGACCGGTCAACCACACCTCATTTAGAACCAGAAGTACGCAATCAGGCAGCAACAGAGAAAAAAAGTACAGTACTGTATTAAACGTAAACTACTAAAAAATAAAAGGGAAAGATTTTTAAGAAAAGATTTGACAAAGTAAGGAAACTGCTTGTATTTGTTTGATTTAAATTAAGATTGTTAAAAGCAGCATTTCTCTTCTGCATAGTAAAATTTCAAAGCTGTATTAAGTCAATGTTTAGTTGTAAACTTTTCAAAGAATTACCATAGCGTTTTGTTCAGAGTTATGAACAATCTCCATCCCCGGGGGGTTCATAACTGAGGTTCTACTGTAGTACACTACATGTAGCATGACTAATACACAGGCATGCATGCAAGTGCCTACCACATGCATACTGAATTGATGATGGATCTGGGTTAGGAGAGGGGGAATGGGGAGATAAAAATATATGTACGATTTCATATTAACTGTTGTCTAGCTATAAGTGATTAAATTACTTGTCCTTTCAACCTTCAGTCTGGAGTGGAACTAAGTAAGGAAAAGGGACAGTCTCTAGAGTATTCTAGAGAGCAATCATAAGGTGATTGAGTAGATATATCCGAGCTTGCTTATGGACACGGTCTTGTAGAAGAGGGTAGCTGACTTTTCAAGCTATCAACTTAGATATGTCTAAAACCCTGACTAGATGCCTTTTTACTCTGGGAAGTTGATCCATTGTTAAATACCACTGTCAGCAAGACTGGTTTGGACTGCTGCTGAAAGCTATTTAACTGCCAACATACTTCAGTACTAACGAAAATGTTAAGTGTTCCTGAGACGTGCTTACTTTTGCTAACAGTTACACTGTGCCTGCACTGGACCAGGGAGATCTGTTGATAATTGCTTTTGTCAACTTCTTGGGGTCATCAAGGCTTAATGTAGAGCTCCTATTGCATGGTAGTAGGGCATAGCGTGCTTACACAAATACTCACTTATGTAAGATTATATATAAGGATTCCAGCTTGCATTAGATAATGTATTTGACAGTTACATAACGCTGTCTCTTCAATGTGGCTCTCTTCCTATTGTTGATGAGAGATCAACCATAACTTTGGATTTGTCCTACCTTCAGAACTTATTTCTCAGCCTAAACATTGGATGAATGCTTTTTTTTTGCATGCTTCTTACACAAGAATTATGCTTCCAGATCAGGCTAAATGCTCCTCTTGTTCCAAAGTTCAATTGCTAAAGTGGACCAAGTTCAGGATGCCAGTGTTGAATTCAGATTTTCTTCAAACTTTACTTTAACTTGTAGATCAAGAGCTGTACAAACCCAGGAAAGCTTCCAGATTCAACTGGTTTAGTTATTAGAACACTAATTTTAGCTTTAACTCAAAGAGCTGAACTATTTTGGCCAACCCTTCCCAAAATGAGAGGTTTAGGCAAGTTATGAGAAGGGAAGACAGGGGATAGTTATAAATCAGTCTTAATGATAGAGAATGTAAGTAGCGCACACTGAAGTGGTGTTGTGAAATACCAACAGGCATAATAAAGCCAAAGAAAATACTAGCTTTTCAACACTGAGCTTCTGTAGGGAAAAGAAGACTAGGATATGCAGGGGAGATGAAAGAAGATACTGATAAGATCTCTGCAGAAAATATTGATAATTTTAGTTTGGTCATCACCTTATCTTAAGAGAGTGGAGGAAGTGGCAGCTATCCCATAACTACTTTTAATGATAAACTTGCAGAAGAAAAATACATTGCAAATACAGACTACACTCAAAAGTGCTGCCCATGAGGCACCATAAATCTCAGCAAAAAGCCTTGTTCATTTATACTTTGACAGCCTGGTTTTCAGAGGTGCCAAGTAACTCCAAATTCCAATGAAACTAGTGGTGGTCAGAACCTCTGAAAAGGAGTCAAGCCATAAGACCTAAGAGTTTGGGATCATACAGTTTTATACACTAGCATAGAAGTGTTATGCCAATTTGATGTTAAAAAGGCTAGAAATCCTTCACACAAGCTATGTGGTAAACTTCTTCAACCTTAAGAAATCATCATCTTCACTGAAAGTTATTACATGGCAATAAGCAACCTTTATTGCGTATTTCCACAATTTCTAATGTTTATCTGAAAACCTGACAGGGAGCTTTAAGGCTATTTTGATGGGGCAACAGCTATCGTAAGATTAGACCCTGTTGCATCCTTTACTGTCTTTTAACAAAGGTTTTGGGAAGTACACTTTAGCATTTAAAATATACATCGCAATTTAGCAGAAGATAACCTACTTGCAAGTTAAAATACGCACTACATCATTTGGTTTGTATACTTCAATGCACACTGCACAGCTATCGCCATCAGGACCAATTTCCTAAATGAAGAGTATAAGTCATTAGTTATCCTGAGACAGATTCATGATTAAGAGTTGCATACAGATTTATTCTGGAAATTAATCTCAAGATAAAAGTGTTCTAGCCAGAATAAGCTAGAGCCGCTCTCAAATACAAATGTATATAATGAATTACCAACCCAGTAGGTTTGACATTTAATCTGAAGCATTAAAAAGCAAACCCATGACTTAATCAACAGCAAAATATCTTGTTTAATCAGTGGACGGGTGTTTAAAACCTTAGAAAAGCCAAAAGGAAGTAAGGGTACGGCTACACTGCAATGCAGTGAGACTACAGGAGTGTGAATTGCAGAGTGCTCTGAAGTGTTGCACTTCTAGTGTCCAGTATTTGCATTAACATAGTTCTGTTTGAAAGAGGACTAGGTTTAAACAGGACTAAATTAATGCGACTTGAGGTACCTTTTAGTTCGCTCCAGCAGTGTCCATGCAGGGCAGTTAAAGTGCAACACTTTGGTGTGCTCTAGAATTTGAACCCCCCACCCCATAGTGCTCACTGTGGTGTAGTGTAGATGCTCTCAGTTCCACTGAAGAATGACTTCTGAAACTTTAAATAAATAAATAAATAAAATTTAGTTGTATGCACTAATGCCCAAAGATCAGGAGCATTTGGCGCAACTAAAAATCAAAGCACACCATTTAAAACGAAGCAGTTGGCTCGAGTTACCCCTGCCAACTCCCTTCTGTGACTGACATTATTACATTAGTTACATCTGCCAAAATCTCAGAGAATGGAGCGTATTTTGCTATAGACTACAGTTTTGCAAGTTATATGCCCTTTGGAAGGCTTGGGCTCAAAAATGATTTGAGTTTGCACTCCGATTCACTTGACTTAAGGCAGGAAAATTTTAGGATATTTGTACAGCCAACTTTATCAAAAGCAAGAAGAGGAAAGCTTGGATAACGTCATGTCAGATTACATTTCAAAAGAATATAAGGAAATTATTTTGTCAATGATACCTTGTCCCCCTGTTTTAACGTGCGCAGTTGTAGCTGTCCAATAGCTTTTTTGGCATCTGCTTTTAATTGTCTCTGCAACAAAAAAAAGGAGAAGTGTTGATTAAACTACAGAATGAATTTGCCTATAAATAATGACTAAAAAAAACTAATGTAACCAAGTCTCTCTCTATAATCCATAGATATTCAATGTGGTCTTTAAAGAGAAAGTTTGCCTATTTATGCATCAAAAACATTAAGAAAAAACAGCTGAAACTTAGTTTTTGGATACTTTATACAGTTGTGCTTTTAAGGGACATGCCACATGCTTTCCCCAAATAATGTTTTTAAAAAGGCTTTTCACTGAGAAAATATGCAAAACCAAGGAATTTCAGATTTGTAAACATACACAATCGTATCTTGATTAAGTTGCATCAGATCTAGCAGTGTCAACTTAAACCTTCAAATTAACTCAACCCAGAAGAGGAAACACTGTAGAACTCAAATCACAGGGAGTTAATATATCCAATTGCTGTGAATTTGTATTGTGACTTCCTAGCACAGACTGCCACTTAGGCATATCTTGATAAAAGCAAGGTTCTTTACCAGTCAGCTCCTCAAATACTCTCAACGCGCCCTCTGAACCAAACCTTTGAAATGAGTTCCTTTCATAATGTATACAGACCTCTCAGGAGCCTTGAGCTTCCTAGCACCAACTGCAACTGTACACTGAACAAGTCAAACAATTTTATCTGGCGACTGACCCAAGTTAGCATATGTAATATTTGCACCTTTGTGAAAGCTATTTTTTAATCTAAGCCTGTGGGCAGATTAGGTAAAACCTGTAGACTGTACTATCAAAGACTAGCCCTAGAAAACTTACAAGGTAGCTACAATGCCAGCAAAGAAGTGGGACTGCATTCCCCCTTCCCGCCCACCTTGTCAATCAATGTATCTGATTTTCTCAGGCTGCCAAGAGACAGACACACAAATGGCCAAAAAGTGGAAGCTTTAGCTTGCCTAACAGCTACTGTTAATCAATGGTACTGTGGAGGGTTCAATTAGCATGAAAGCCTGTATTTCTGCTTAAAATGTCACAAAAGTTTTATCTTCAGTAACATGCTGAACCTCTCCCTACTCTGCAGGTAACTACTGCTTCAGGACATGAAGTCATAGCAGGCAGACCCAGCTACAGCGCTGCAACGATAAGGATCTTTATAGCCCAGGCAAGGTGGATCAAAGTTCGGCAGCAAACTGGATATTCTGCTACAAGTTAAAATGTTGAGTTTATCAATGTGTGAATGTAAACACAATCAGCACAGAATCTGGGCTATTATTTTCAGTTCTTAACTGAACTAAGATTCTGGTAGTGATAATATATAACCATTGTAGAAAGTCAGGAGGAGGAAGTCGCTTGAGTTTGACAGCTGAACGGGAGGGGCACTAAGGCCATGTCTACACTAGCATGGCACAGCTGTACCGATGCGAAGATCACATATGTAGCTGCTCCGTACTGATGGGGGTGCTCCCGTCAACATTATACCACCTCCAACGAGCGGGACAGCATCTCCCACCGACATAGTGCTGTCCACCCCCCTGCTTGTTGGTGTAACTTATATCGCTCAGAGGGGTTCTCTCAAACCCCTGAGCAACAAGTTATACCGATAAAAACACTGGTGTAGACATAGCCTTAGAGAAGTGAGACGCAATTTGCAGTTGTAGTATGAGCCCATAAACTCTCTTTATGCTAAAGTTATCAGTAGTGAATTAGTCAATCATTTTAAAAAGTGTCGTCTTTAGGTTTCACATGGAGCAAACGATTTATATAAACATGGGCAGCTCATGCATCAGAGTTATTGACTCAGGAAGGCAACAGGGCATCAGTTTGCATTACAGTCCCATTTTCAAAGTTATCTTTGCAACAAAAAGGGGCTAGAGGCTTAGTACAATTCTACAGGAAGGTGCAACTTCCACAATATACACAGAGGCCATGAACTCAGCTAGAACAGACTGACAAGTCAATTTAATTTTGTTTTTTAAAACAAAAAACCTCAAAGCCACCACAAATTGATTTAAAAGTTTTTTTGTTGGTTGAATAAGAACATCCAGATAATGCCACTTTGCTGTTTCCATTTGAATGAAGACTAGTTGCTGCAACGTTAGGCAGAACAAAATCAGATACAAGTTTAAGGTGTTTCTAAGGTTGAGACTACGTGGAAGCATTCTCTATTGTGGTCTTATGAGCTAGTCTGTATGACTAACAAATAGATGAAGAGCCTCAAAAAATATGACACTTCCACAGAGTTCTCATGTGGAGTATGGAACATTCAATAGAAGATATAAGTATATAGTAATATCAATACCGTCTATTATCTACTGGCCAGAACAGCACGCGCATGCATATACATATACATATACATATACATACACACACACACACTTAATTGATAGTTCTCTAAATCATGACAACTGAAAAAAAAGACTATGTAAAATTCACACCAGCATCTAATCCACATGGTTCGTGTCAGGGTAGGCACATTACATGAATTTTGATTAGCTTTATTAGTCATTTTAAAACAAAATGTTTTGAGTTTGTCTAAGCAATAATGTTTGTTAAACTAATGCTCACAAACTACACTGACAAGAGCCAACTCTAACATCAACATTAACAGGAACAGTGGGTATGTGTAGGGAGATAAACCACTAAGTCATGACCATTTTCTGGAGAGTTCCTGCTTAGGAACTTGCATCTAGATTCTGTGCCTCCATTTTCCTGCCTGGATCTCCGCCTCAGAGCCCTGCCTCTGGAGGCTTCACTAGCAGGTGCAGTAATTTCAGTGCTCCCACTAAGACAGACCCTGCCCATGGACATCAACTGGTGATCAATACCAGAGAAAGAAGTGTTTTATAGGCTTAATCTGGAAAGAAGTTGATAAAAATAGCAGCCACACGTGTTCAGACAATTCGTAGTTAAGACCTGGCAACAATGTCGAAGTTTCCAGCTTAGACCTGGTATCAATGCCACAATTCCCACACAGAAATTCATTGGCAGACTTCCAAGCTGACTTTAAGTTTAGAAAGTCCACAGTCCCTTACTCTGACAATAGTCAAAAATATTTCTAATTGTGCTGTCAACTATGCACAATGAAGTCTCTGAGAGCTGCACCACTGAATTCCTTCAGACACCCCTTCCCATTGAGCTAGTTTACCTTCTAGCATAGAGACTTTTCTAAGTGTCCACTTCTGACCAAGCTTCAGTACACATTCTCTCTGCTAAGATCCTGTAGGACAGACACACCTGCTGTACCCTGGTTCTCTCATAAGAACGGCTATACTGGGTCAGACCCAAGGTCCATCTAGCCCAGTATCCTGTCTTCTGACAGTGGCCAATGCCAGATGCCTCAGAGGGAATGAACAGAACAGGTAATCACCAAGTGATCCATGCCACCACTCATTTCCCAGCTTCTGGCAAACAGAAGCTAGGGACATCATCCCTGTCCACCCTGGCTAATAGCCATTGATGGACCTATCCTCCAGGAACTTAGGGCTCAAAAAAGAACTAGATGTTATAGACTTGACCTCCACAATATTCTCTGGCAAGGAGTTCCACAGGTTGACTGTACGTTGTGGGAAAAAATGCTTCCTTTTTTGTTTTAAACGTGCTGCCCTGTTGTAATTTAGGAGTTTGTGAAAGAGCAGGAAATAGTTTAGAAATTATTCTGTTACACAAGAGTCCTGAACTTCCGTAGTCTTTGGAGAACTAGAGTTGTGTCACTGTCTGCAGTTACAATATTTGAGTTCGAAATGAAGTCTGGCTCACATACAGACTTGAAGTTTTCATATTGTCATTACAGGCAGTGCAAGTAGCACTAGCTAAGATTAAGACTGCACCACATTTTCCATTATAAGTTCCTGCTTTTAACTGTACGACTTTGTCACCAAGCTTAACATGGTGTGAGAACTTACAGCCCACACCCAAGTGTCGGCTTCAGGCTGATTTTTGAAAATTTCAGTAAGAACTATTCATCCATTTCTTAGAATAATGTTAGGGAAAAATGTTGTTTTTCCCTATGTTAAATTAACAGCATTTTGTTAAGCAGCTCCTGTAACTCTATGCTTGGAGAAGGGACTTGAAATTTCGTATTGTGGTTGCCCGAAAGTCAGGGCCTTTTGCTTTCTCTGTGAAAGAGTAAGTTATGGGCCACACATTGGTCAATGAAGATAAAATACTGAATAGCTGCTCATTCAGTGGGCACTACCTATTCTATACAATGATGGAGGCAGTGATTGTGTGGGAGAGCATGCAGTCATGTATTTCAAGACTGCATCACAGTGCAGATACACGGGGGTTGAATTAAGGTTGCACAGGCAACCTTAATGCTGTTTTTTCCTTAACTTCAGTGCTTGCCTAATTTTTTTTTTTTATGAACAAGTCTTAAGGGCTTAAATTGACCGTCAAGCTTTAACAAAACATATTTTCATGAAGGTAAATGAATTTTTATCTGGGTGGGAGAGAACAAGAAGCAGCCAGACACAGGATAAGCCTGTCCTGGTTTCCACCCATGACAATTTAGAGTTAAGAATATGCCACAATCTGCAAGGTTATGGATTTGCCATTGCCTGGTCTAAACAGGAGAGTCAGACCCAGAGGGAAGGAAGGAAGAGAGGGGAGAAGACAGCAGTTTTTATTTCTGTCCCTCCATTCTGGAAGGTAGCACTGATGCTGTCAAGTTCCTTTCCCTGCTCTTCCTCTGAGAGGATCAGCACCGGTGCTTGGAGATGAAGGATCTTCAAATAGGTCTGACACTCCTTATGTTCCTCCCATAATCCTGGCAAGACATTTGCATGACACACCGAGCTCCACTACCCTCAGGTGCAGAGGTTTAATTATTGTTCCCACCAACTTGGGCATTGCCCAGACGCAGGTCACCTTGCTTCCTATATTATCTTAAGTGGGTCACTTCTGAGGCATTATGTAATTTGTATAACAGCATTTAAGTTTAAACTTTGAACTAATTATGGTGAACTAAGTACTATCACTAGTTATTTCTTGGTGCCAGTAAGCTAAATTAGAATGGACTAGATTTTGAAAATGT